CTGGAAGATGGCACAGAGTGCACCCTCAGTAAGTTGCAGATGACACCAAGCTGTGGGGGAGTAGTAGATACGCTGGAGGGCAGGGCTAAGATTAAGAGAGACCTTGACAAATTGGAGGATTGGATCAAAAGAGATCTCATGAGGTTCAACAGGGACGAGTGCAAAGTCCTGCACTTAAGATAAAATACTCCCATGCACCAGTACAGGCTAGGGGACCAACTGGCTAAGCAGCACCTCTGCAGAAAAGGACCTTGAGATTACAGTAGACAACAAGCTGAATATAAGCTAACAGTGTGCCCTTTTTGAGAAGAAAGCTAATGGCATCGTGGGCTGCATTGGTAGGAGTGTTGCCAGCAGATCAAGGGATGTGATTATTCCCCTCTGTTCAACACTGGTGAAGCCACATCTGTGTCCAGTTTTGGGCCCCCCACTACAGAGAGGAGAGAGTCCAGCAGAAGCCGGTAAAAATGTTTAGGGAGCTGGAGAACATGATTTTATGAGGAGAGGATGAGGGAACTGAGGATGGGCTTGTTTAGTTTAGAGAAGAGAGGACTAAGAAAGGATTTAATAGCAGCCTGCAGCTACCTGAAAGGTGGTTTCCAAAGAGGAGAGAGCTAAACTGTTCTCAGTTATGGCAGATGACAGAACAAGAAGCAATGGTTTCAAGTAGCAGCAAAGGAAATTTAGGGTTAGATATTAGAAAAAAAACTTTCTTACTAGGAAGGCAGTAAAGCATTGGAACAGGTTACCCAGAGAGGTTGTAGACTCTCCATCCTTGGAGGTTTTTAAGACCCAGCTAGAAAAAGCTTTGGTTGAGATGATCTAGTTGGGGATGGTCCTGCTTTGAGCAGGGGGTTGGAATAGATGGCCCTCTGAGGTCCTTTCCAACACAGTTTCTATGATTCTATGAATCGCAAAAATGTGGAGGTCGACTCTCATGTCTGAACTGATAGTATGTTTATCCCATGTTGTTGCAGCCTTACAGGATTATTCTGCTCTGAAGAAGAAACAGATGGGTTGGAGCCCAAGTGCCCAGCCATCCCTAGCAAGACAGTGGGTGTACGTGTAGTCTAACGAATAGAGCACTGGAGTGGAACTGGAGGAAGCCATTACTCTCCTCCCTTGCCACTGACCTGCTTGGTGAATGAGGGCAAGTCATTCAGTATCTCTGCACCACTGTTCCCACATTTTTGCAAGAGGAACAATGATTGTTTTTTGCAATGGATTTGGAGATCTGTGGATGAAAATATCAGTAACAGTGTTGTATTAGCGAGACTAGGAGGCCAGTCTAGCAGGGGTAGCCTCATTTTGAGGACCTTACTGAGTGTAAGATGGCAGTGTCAGCTGCACCTTGCCAAAGCAAAGGACTACAGGATTTGAATTACCCCTGGTCTCCCTTTAAACTTTAGAAAGAAATTTTAGTAGGTAGGCATCTGAATGTACAGCAGCTGAATGTACTTGAAGCCCAGTAGTGAAACCACTGGCTTGGCAGAGATCAGTAGTACTGCCTATGTGCTTTCTTTCCTTTTGCCAGAGAAGGCTGTAGGTTCTTTGTATTAGTACCTCCTAAGCAGTGGTTGATACTTCTGCTGTGTTGTTACATTGACTGTTTAGAGGCCAAGTATTAACCTCCCTAGGAAATGAATATATTTCCCCTCCCATGACCACAGTTCCCTAAGTTGAGTAAGGGAGTGAGTGCTTATCAGAAATATTTGTTACAAAGGCTGGGAGATGGAGCTGTTGAATAGTAACGATAGAAATGACTTACAAAAATATTCTTTCATACCATGGACTTACCTACGGGATGGCTGGGTGGGAGGGAGGTTTGTCATCTCACTACATGAGTCTTTGTGCAACACCAACTGCGTTTGCCAAGTTCCACTCGGACAACCTTGGTGTTGAGTGTGTTCAGCCTGGATTCTGGCTGGGTGGCAACTCCACTTGGATTTCCAAATGCTCAGCCAAGAACATGGGCAGAAATTGTATCTTTCCACAAAAGTGATTAAAAATGCATCACAAATGTAAGCCATAGTGTCTGGTGTAGGAATTACAGCAGCCTTTCAGTATTTGTGTTTTAATTACCATATTTACTTGATTCCAACTTGAGGTTTCCCCTCCCCACCATTTACCATGGGGAAATAACAGGCCCTCATCTGGGAATCAGAGTACTAGGTGGCAGGGGCCAGGCAGCAGCTTTGGCCCAAACCCTGAGTCACAGCTGAAACCAAAGTGGCTCTCTGTTCCCCATCACTCCTCCTCTGCAGCCTTGGGCCCCTACCATCCCCTGTCTCAGCCCCCCTCTTGCTGCTTCCCTCCCACTCCACAGAGCTTTGCTCCAGCAGCTGGGGTTGTGCTCTTTGCCCAGGCTGCAGTGGGGATACAGCCTGCTGGTGGTGCAGGTGGGGGAGGACAGCAGGCAAGGGGTAGAGGCTTTGGAGGTGAGGGAAAGGGGGCAGGGACCAGAGGCTATGGGTTGGCAGGCATGGGGCAGGAGAGATGGGAGGCAAGTTTTCGCTAGTTTTTTGACTACAGAAAAATAACAGGGCACATTTTCTCTTGCAAATAATTCAGAAAAACCATATCAGGTCCTAATGTTTTTGATGCTGTGATTTCCTAGTTGAAATCTCTGGGTTTATCTTGCAAGTCATATTTGCCCACCTAACTGTGCTAACAGTTGGTGGGACCTTTAAAAGATCTCATGATACCTAAGGGTTCCATAGCATCCTGGTTTGAGAATCACTGCCCACCATATCCTTTCACAAACATATTCACCCATCTTCTTTGAATTTATAGGAGAAATATTTGTAGATAAACTTTTCCCAGAGGGGAATCACTCTAAGGACAGCAGAGTTAGCTGTGGGACATAATCACAGCTCTCTCCTTCCCTTGCTTTCCCTGCAGGAATGGCATTGGAAATCCTACCAGCTGGTCCTTGACTCTTAATGAATGTGATTTTAGCTTCTCTTTCATGAGTAATAAAGTCTCCCAGAGCCAGACTGGAAAACTGAACACACCATCACCAGGTGTTACTGGAATTCAGAAGGAAAGAGAGGTTCCAGCTTGTTGGGGTTGGAGAGAATGAGTAGCATATTTAAGTTACAGACTGTGTTCCTGCTTATGCAAAAAAAAAAAAATGCAGCAGCTTTGCAGGGCTTTGAATGCTGATAGCCATCTATACATCACACACTGACACACCACTGTTCCTCATCAGATGAAATATGCCAGCATGGAGCTAGTAGTACCTGAGTAGCTGTGTCAAAGCAGATGGCTTGCCCAAAATATCCCCATAACCCTAGGAGGATTATCTTTCTTCCAGTGGAGCCCTCAACCCCAGTTGCCCTATTGACACGTCTCTGCTAATCTCTCCATGGTCCACCCCAGCCTGATGACTAGTGGCATTGTTCAAGGGGGTTTTCCTCCCTGGGCTGTGCATGGAACAGGAGAGCCAAAATAATGGGTTGATGGGCATAGGTATAAGTATGTGTGGAGGGGAAGGGGCTTCTTTCACTGGTGCTATAAAACACCAAATCCTGTTGCCTTCCTGATCCATTGAGCTATATTTACTTTTGTGGGGTGATTCTGATGCAAACTCTTTATCCAGTGAAACCATAGGGTTCCATCCCCAAATCCTCTCTTTCTCCTGTTGTCAAGCCTATTAGTATCCTCTTCTGATCTCTTCACAGTTCTTCACTTGCCTGGTGATCCTGTTTGCCTGTGAAGTGGCTGCTGGAATCTGGGGATTTGTCAACAAAGACCAGGTAAGAGCAAACCCTGAAACCTTTCTGTCTGTGTGATCATGTGCTTGTGTAAGACCCTGCTGTGGTTCTGCCCCAGCTGGCAGAAGGGTGGCTTTGAGTTTAAGGCATTAAAGAAGACTTGAGACCAGAAACTGAACCATCACCAAAAGTATATGACCTTGGGCAAATCACTTAACCTCTCTATGGCCCAGTTATTTAATATAACATTACCCGTGTTTGATCTTGCCCTACAGAGAATGTCCCTCAGTATGAGTCAGCATACAGTGCCTCAAACAGTACCCTGATCTCTGCTTACCATTGTAGCATCAGTAACACAATGAATGGGACCCTTGCACAGCCTCACACCTGGGTGTGCAAAGATGAATATCAGTGAACCCTAGGACAAAGCATGAAGCAAAGTTCTTGCATCTTGCTCCAAACTTATGCTGATAGCCTGGTAAAGGTACATGATTACCACAAAAGGGATTGAGTGTATCATTTGTTCCTCACAAGTGTTGTTACATGTTCTAGATTATTCTGAAGCTTAGACCAGATTGTTATTGACTTGCTTGCTGCGTGAGTGGGGATCTGCCACCCTGGTAGCTGATGACCCCCTCCATGGTCCAGCCATCTACTGGCTCTTTCCTGGTCCCAGCATCACCTCCACTTTTACTGCCCTAACTTTGCTATTATCTTGGTTTGTTGGGGATGCGGTCCCTGAGGTCAGGGGGGTAGCTTCATTGGTCACCTTGATGCTCAGCTCTACCTTCACAGCTAGGGTCACCCTACCTGGGGCCTGTGCTTTCCCCTTGGGTGGTTTCCTTTTACAGGAGTGCTCCCTCAAGCTTCCGAGCACCTGTTGGGGCCTCAGCTGCCACAGTCTTGGCACTCTTTTGCTCTGGCTGCACCCTCAGCCTTGGTCTGCTGCCTAAAACCTCAACTCCCAGGCATGATCCCTGACTTGGCAACAGCCTCTCTTGGGGTTCCAGTTGCATCCTCCCAAACTCGACCTCTCTGGCCTGGGGCTAGCTTCCTGCTATTCACCATAGCGCCCCAGGGAAAAACCAGGAGCAACAGTCATAAACTCCTAGAAGAAGGTTTCAGACTGGATGTAGGGAAAAACTTATTCACGGTTCGTGTGACCAGACTCTGGGACAGACTCCCAGCAGGGATGGTGCAGGCACCTACACTGGAGATCTTCAAAAGGAGACTGGACGCACACCTTGCTGGGGTTATTTGACCTCAGCAGTCTTTCCTGCCCAGAGCAGGAGGGCTGGACCCAATGATCTCACAAGGTCCCTTCCAGCCCTAAACTTCTGTGAATCTGAATCTGCTCATAGTGGGGAGTGCCACCTAGCCACTTTCACCCCTGTAGCCACAGCCCAGTCCTCCAGTCTCACGCAAAAAGTCTCCCTCACTCAGGGTTAGTGTTACCCACAGGCCATACTTCCCTTAGAGCCATCTTACCCTAGCTGCCCTAGGTGTCTGGCTCTTTTGAGAGTTCCTCTCCCTGCTGCCTGCAGAGCCAGACTCCCCCGTGCATGGTCAGCAACTGGGTTTACATGCCCAAGCCCAGCCTTCTTCTAGCCATGTAACCACAGCTGCACCCAGGGTCCAGGTGCAGGGAATTGCCTCATTGAGCGCCTGGCCTTTTTAGTCCTTGACTCAGTCCACATATGCAGCTACTCCTTCCTGCCCTTGCTTTCCCCAGGTTTCCTATCTTCCCCCACCTTCAGGGGTTCCCTGTTACAGGGAGTGTGAGGTGTGAAGGCAGAACCCATTTGTAGATGCAGCGTAATGGTCATTCCCACTAGGGCTGAGAACAGGAGTTCTGTTAGCTCTTCCTAGGCAGCTTTAGCCTGAAACCCAGATACTTAGATGTGTCTTGAGGAATGAAGGACAGGGCTCTGAATCCTTTCCTTTTGCTTCCCACACAAAGTCCCTACTCACTGTTTTGCCAGCTCCCTAAGCCCCACATACTCATACAAACACACATGGGTAACCTTGTATAGAGGCCCACTTACATGCCAGCACTTAACATTTCTACCTAGAATGTCTCCCTAATGAGCTCTCGCTGCTCTTAGCCTTGCACAGCAATAGGCTTTGTCTTCTGGACAGAGATATAACAGAGGGAGGGAGGATTCCCAGTGGGATTACAAGTTATCAGAATACCATGGTTTCCCAAAGTGGAGGAATGAACACATAGTGCTGGCTCCTGTCTTTTGAGTTGTGACCTTCGCTGACCAATGGGTGCCTGGAACATCCATCTTTCTCCTGGCATGGCTTCTCATGGGTTTCATCAGAACTGGGCCAATCCTATTGTATTAAAACCTCTAAGGAGAGACTGTCCATGCACAAAAACCTGAGCTGTCGTGCAGCCAGGAAGAAACCAGACATTAGTATTCCAGTCACTTCGACATCAAGGATCTGAAGCAGAGAAGGGAATCTCTTTGTGCTTGGAATCTGCGGGGGAGCCAGAAATTAATTGCTTTATTAAGAAGTTTAATTCATCTAGAAAATCAGGTGGTAGCCAATTCCATTTCAGAGCTGTTTCAGAGCTGGTTGTGGGTGCAAACACTCAACCATTAATTCACAAGAGAGATGCATTACTTCATCAGTACATTTTCTTGGTGGCTAAATATGTCCTGTGGCTAGAATGCTGTTACCTAGCAACCTCTGGTGCAAATTAACGTTTTTGAGGGGAGGGGGAGGTGTTGTGTACCGTGCAGGTATTACCTCTAGTATCTTTCAGTGTCTAAGATGTAACAAATTTGCAAAAGTCCAGAAATCCTATTAGGAATTTGCTGTTGTAGGTACCCCCCTGCTGCTACTGGCTCTGCAGGGAAGGCACACGCATATGGTAGAAATGGGCACTGGTTTAAATGCCCCCAATAAAGATTCAGGGTTTTTTTTCTTTCCAGCAGGATGAAAGCAACAGCATCAGCCACTTGTGGCTCAATTGAACATATTTAATGCAAAGGAGTAAGAATCTGCAGCTGCTGCTTGACTTCTGTGTCTGTTTTTCCTGCCCCCAGGGGGTCTGGTAGATGAAGGTCCTTGCTAACAATGCTCACAACCTGTTCCTGTTCCCTACCCTCACCTATTGATGCCAGTCCTGAATGACATGGGAAGAGAGAGGGGAGGTGATGCTGGGAGAGTCCCAAGCCAAGGAGAGACCATTTTATGCAAGTGTCTCTGCTGAATGATTCTAATGGTCATTCACACTAATTACTGCCAGTGGTATTGGAGCACTTATCCTGAACCACAGGCAGAAAGGAAATTTTATTAGCAGTGTTTGACTACCAGGCAAGTGTAGACACCGCTGAATACATTTAGTCATTGTACTTTTGCTTTATTTTAGTGCCATTAATGATATCACTTGGGGGAAGATTATTTCATAATGAAGTAGGTGTGGGGTGCCATTTTATTATGAAATTAGATCCCTGTTTTCAATGTTTGATTTGTCTTAGGTGGAGGAAGGGAGGCAATTCCATCCCTTTTTCTGTTCATTAAAGGTTTGACTCGCAGATAATGGTTTCAAATTCAGTACATTGGGAAGGAAGGTGAGGACAAAAGGGCAACTTACTGAAACCCCAGTTCTGATTTTATTTCCTCACCTTCTCCACACTGCATAGGATGGATCACTGCAGATTAGGTTTCCCAAATAGTCTGTCCCTCATTTCTGTTCACTCTTCTTGTCCCTCTGCTCTTTTAAGCCTCTCTCCCAAACTCCTGCTTTTTCGGAAGCCATAAGGGAGAGAGTATATAAGATCAACATTCAGGATTCAGCAAATGTGAATATATGGCACAGGCACTGACTGTATGAACTCCCCGGTGCTCCCCTGGCTGCTGCATAGAGTTGCTATGTGTTGGCTGCTGCCATGTTCTGGCTCGGGGGGAGCTGCATTTTGATAGCTGATCTGGGGATAACAAATACAGTTAACATTTTTTTCAAAGCCGTCTACTATATCTAGGTGCCCAGCTGCTACAAGTTACTAGGGGACTCTAGTATCCATATCCTGTAAGTCACTTAGAAAATATAGGTCTGTACAGACAAAGTATTCACAAAATATTTAGGAAATATTGGCCCAAAGATTCTAGTTGACGACTGAAGTCTAGCATCTGCCCTTTGGAACATTGTATAGCTGCAGGAATTTTGATCTCAGTAAGGGAGAGGCCCCTACTACTTCCCTCTATAAATAAATGCATAATATAGCCCAAATCTGAAAGAAACTTCTTATTCAGGTGGGAGTGGCACTGAAGGCAGCATGCCCCTTGTTGGGTAGCCTGACAGCACTGTTATTCCTTGCCACACAGATTTGATAGAGCTCTTTTTAGGTGTATGTCCTCAGTAAGAAGGTTTTTTCTTACCTTTTCTGCAGATTGCCAAAGATGTGAAGCAGTTCTATGACCAGGCATATCATCAAGTGATTCAGGGAGACCCCAGTTCAACCAATGGGAAAACTGTTTTGAAGACCTTCCATGAAACGGTGAGATGAGGAAGAATAGTAACCATGGAGTTGTCCTAGGGCAGGGGTGGGCAACTATTTTGGATGGAAGGGTGCTTGAGTTTTGGCAAGCTGTTGAGAGCTGCATGGGTAGCCCTGCCCCTCAACAGGTGCCCCAGCCCCTGGTCACCATCTTGGGACTGGAAGTCCTGCCCCTAAGCCCTGACCTTTGCCACCAGAAGTCCCTCCCCTTGTCCCCAGAAGTACTCCTTTCAGCAAAGGGGTTTGCCATCTCAGAACCACATAAATACAAAATGATATTCTAAAAATCAAACATCTACTACAATATTCATTCATTTGATTTCAAAAAATATTTTTGTCCTGATTTACTTGTGTTTGTGTAGCGTACATAGAGGTGATTGTACAATAGCTTAAAATGAAGTCTTACTCTTCTATGTTGTGGGGGGTATGGGTGTGTAGGTGTAGATTTGTGGGGATGTGGATATATGTGTATGTGGGGTGTGGGGGAGGGTGTGTATGTGGGGTTTGTGGGGGATAGGTGTGGGTGTGTATGGGGCTTGGGGGGTGTTGGTATGTGTATGTGGGGTGGGGGAGCGTGTGTGTGTGTGTGTGTGTGTGGATATGTGGGGTGTGGGTATGAGGTTTGTGGGAGGCTGTGAGTGTGTGGGCAGAGAGTGGCTGGGGAGGATTGTGGCATGTGTGGAGGGGAGAGGATGGCTGGAGGGTGCGGGGTGTGCGTGGGGGTGTGTGGATGCCCACAGCCGCTGCCACCAGCAGCAGCAGCACCAGGCTATGAGGCCTTCGGGTGCTTAGGGCCTGTGGCAGGCAGAGCCCCTGCCCAGCACTCCTGCCAGCCTGGGCCTAGCACTCCTGCCGTCCCTGGTCCTCGGGCACCACCAGTGTGGGCCCTGTGCTGTTGCCTGCCCAGATGCTGCCACACTGACCCCTCTGCTGTCTGCCACTGCTGCCCTTCTCCTGCTGCTTCCCTACCTTTCTGCTTGCTGCCCCCCACTGGCTGCTCCAGCAGCATGTAGTTCTACAGCTGCATGGCCGGGTCCACACAACACAGCAGAAGGGAGCCAACCAGGAATCGCGGGGACCAGACCAGGCCTGTTCCTGCTGCATCCTGTGGTCCAGAAATAAGGTGGGAGTGGGGGAACAAGCGGCAGTAGCAGGCGGGAAAGCGGGGAAATCATGGTGGCAGCAGCGGCAGGTTTGGGGGCGAGTGGCAGTGTGCAGGAATGTAGCAACACCTGGCTGGGAGTGCAGGGCCCAGGCTGGCAGGTGCTCTATGAAGTTGGGCTGGGCTGTCCCAGTAGTGAGAGGGGCAGAGCGGGGATAGCTCTGTAGAGCCTCTGCCAGCCTGAGCCCCTCACTCCTGCTGGCTGGCCCTGGCCCCAAGGCATGGGCACAGGCCCCACACTCCTGCCCAGCTGTTGCTGTGCTCGTGCCCACTGCCATTCCCCCCTACCCCTGCCACTGCTACCAGTGCCATTTCCCTGCTTTTCTGCCCACCACTGCTGCTTCTCCCCACCCCGCCATCTACCACTCTGGCACCATGTGGTTCCTGGCTGCATTGCCAGGACCACAAAATAAAGCAGAAACCAGCCTGGCCCCGAGGACTGGGGCAATCACCGTGGTCCTCCCATCTCCCTGTGTTCTTAGTTGAGTTGCAGCTGCATGGCCGGGTCCTCCCATCTCCCTGTGTTCTTAGTTGAGTTGCAAAGAGCAGGAAACAACCCCGGGGTCATCAGGCCAGAAGCCTTCCACCAGGCTTCCAGTCAGGGGCTGGGTGGGGGAGGGGGGTCAGGGCTGGGCAGGCCTTGGTGCTGTAGCTGCTGGGTCCTGCCCTCCCCTGGGTCCTGCTGCCGCCTCCCCCTTGGTCCTACTGCTGCTGGCACCTTGTTATCATTGACAGGCAGCTGGGGCAGATAAGTAATTCTCTAAATTTTTTAGGGACCCCACAGGCCAGATAGAATGGCTTGGCAGGTGGGATGTGGCCCGTAGGCCGGATTTTGCCCACCCACGTCCTAGGGTATATAAAGGTGGCTGGAAAACCATTTCTATATAGAAGTTCTCAATTATCCACAGGGACTAGGCATGTGTCCTGATCAGACAGATCAGTGTGTGTTGAAATTGGTCCTGCAACTTGTAGGATTGTACCCATGTGCCCCCTGATCTGCTCAGGGGGCAGG